CCATCTTCAACAACGAAAATGGGTTGAAAAGTGTTTTTCTTAAAATACGTTTGAAATCAATTTTGAGGGGCTTGGACAACCACCACCTCTTGGGTTTTTGGAAAAACAGTTTTGAGAGGGGCTATCGAAGATGCCACCTCTGTTGCGGTAGGTGCAACATCAAGATGATGTTGCTGATAGATTTGTTTGGTTTCTTCGGAAGAGATGGGTGTGGGTAGGATGCCACTTGGCGTTTGAGTATTTGAAAGAATTAGTTTAGAAGGGAAAATTGTTGAGGAAGTTGAAGCTTCAGTGGGAAGCTTTTGTTTAGAACCAGAAACGGCAATAAATTTTTGAAGGTAATTTTGGGCTTCAAGAGGAAGCTTATCAATATTGATCAAAGCTTTGGATGAACTTGAGTGTGAACCAGAATCATCAGAACTTCCTTCATACTCACTTGAATGATCAGGGCTTCCTTGTTCATCATCAAATATCTCTCTCCATGTTTTGATTTTGATTTTCTCTTTATCTCGCAATCTAGTGGTAGGGGGCATTATGACTGGAGATTGCAAGCTTGAGAGTTTTCCGCACTTCGTCCTCCCTGCAAAAATTCCCGAGTTAGGAAGTCTGGAAGAGAGTTTGAAGAACCATTTATAAATTGTATGTCAAAATAAAAAATGCTAAGGATGGCTTGCCATCGTGCAAATATTTGTTTCGAAGCAAGGTTTTGAACATCTTTTTCCAAAATGTATTTTGCTGATTGGCAATCAATGCGTAGTAAAAATTTTTGATTGAGTAAATCATGCTGAAATTTTGAGATGCATAAAACAATAGCAAGCAGTTCTTTTTTGACAGTTGAATAATTGATTTGGGTAGGGTTCCAATGTTTAGAAGTAAAGCGTACCAACAACTCCTTATCATTTTGAATCTGCTTAAGGATTCCTCCATATCCTAGGTCAGAGGCATCGGTTTCGACGATTTTAGGGAGAGAAGGATCACTTATGTGAAGGCACGGGAGACTCTGAACCTGCCTCTTAATTTGTTGAACTATTTTGGTATGCTGGTCACTCCAGGGAGGGGGACTCGTTTTCAATCTATCATGGAGAGGTTTACAAAGAAGATTGATGTTGGGATAAAAGTCAAGGACATAGTTTAAACTACCCAGGAACCGTTGTAATTGATTTTTGTCTAAAATTTGATCAGGAAATTTATCAGCAAATTGAAGAGATCTTTCGATTGGAACAATTGTTCCTTGACTAATGTAGTGACCCAAAAAACGTATCTTAGTTTGAAAAAGACAAAGTTTTGGTTTAGAAACAGCTAGACCGTTACGTCGAGTAACTTCAAGAAATAAATTGAGATGTTTGAAATGTTGGTCAATGGACGAAGAAAAAACCAGCACATCATCAATATAAACTATTATGAAATCAAAATAAGGAGAGTAGATTTGATTCATAATTCTTTGAAATTCTGAGGGAGCATTTTTTAAACCAAACGGCATGACGTTCCATTCATATTGGCCAAAGGGAACGGTAAAAGCAGTTTTATAGCGGTCTGTTTCTTTGATTTGGATTTGCCAAAATCCAGATTTCATGTCAAATTTAGAAAATATTAGGGACTGTGAAAGTTTCTGGAGTAGATCCTTTTGGTTGGGGATAGGATACCTAATCCACTTCAGAGCCTTATTCAACGGTTTGTAGTAACAAGACGAGGAACGCCACGTTCCTTTTCTGCATTATTAATGACATAGAAAGCAGAACAACTCCAAGGGGATTTGCTAGATCTGATAAGGCCCTTTTTGAGCAATTCTTTAATTTCTTGTCGACAATGTTTTTCAAGGTCTGAATTCATTTGGATAGGCCTAGCCTTGGTGGGAATGAGATTTTCTGTGAAATCTTTTTCGTAAGGAAGATCTACCTGATGTTGTTTTTGATGCCAAAAAGCATTGGGTGTATCAGCACAAATAGAGCTTTCAATGTGCTCTTTTAAAGAGTTTATTCGTTTTTGCAAAAGAGGTTGAGAAAGCTGTTGTAAGATTCGCTGAAAATGTATCTCATCATGCAAATAAGATATTTGATTAGTTTTACAACGAATTATATGGTGTATATATTTTATAGAAGAACGTCGTAAAACATTTAGGTTTCGAACTTTTGGTTTTTGGAGAAATGAGAATTCAACATTGTTTCCTAACACAACGGTGTTAATTCCTTGGTCGGTGACGGTAAAAGGTTTTAGAAGATTTAGAAAAGGTGTCCCTAAGATCACCTTTTGTTGCATATCACGTACTAGGACAAAAGGAGTTTTGAATTCAACATTTTGATGACAAATTAAAGCATTAGAAAGTTTATATTGTATTTGAAGGGGTTGAGAGTTAGCGGTAGATAGACGCTCGAGGGTCTTTTCATAGTACTTAGTTGGAATTAATCCTTCTTGGATGCAGTTCATGTCTGCTCCTGTATCAAGAAGGGCCACTGTGCTTAAAGTAAAATCAGAAGAAACCTGAATATTAATGATAACATACCATTTTTGGGTAGTAATGGTAGATAAAAAACATAGAAAATCGTCATCAGTTAGCATTTCCTCTGTTTCTAAACTATTGGTTGCGTGAGGAGTTTCATCGAAAAAGTTTTCGGGGCTAGATGTTGATGGCTCTTCTAAAGGTTTGAGAGCTATTAAAGTTTGTAATATTTCATGATCACTATTTTGTAACTGTCGTAATTGTTGAATTTCTTTCTTAACAATATCCAATTCCTTTTGGAAGTCAGGAAGAGAAGGATTGTGGGAATCATTATTACTATGTCGAGAAAGGATATCTTTGACACTATACGTCGAACCTTGATGAAAGGGATTGGTAGGTGGAATAGTCACAGGAGGTTTCTCCATGTGCTCATGAAGCTTTTTGAAATATTTTTCTTTGAGATGAGGATTATCAATATTATTGATTAGATCTAAAATAAGCTCTTGATCTTTGGTTAAAACATTGATAGAAGATTCAGAACTTTCATCGATGTCATCAAATTGTAAAGCCTGAAGATTCTCATCATCATCAGAAGAAGAAGAAGAAGAAGAAGAAGAAGAAGAAGAAGAAGAATCCTCATGAGAAGAGTAGTGTTGGAGAAAAAGATTATTGATTTTGTCATGAATCTCTTCATCAAGATTAAGCTCATTGAGCTTCTTTTTTATACGACAATATTTGGAAATATGACCTGTTTTTCCACAACGGAAACAAGTAATGTTTTTATTTTCATTGTTAGATCGTGGTCCCTTATCTGGGCGGGGATTCCTAGAGAAATGAGATTTTTGATTCGTGGTTTTAAAAGATCGGTAGGGACGATCACGATGTTTTTTATGAGGTTTGTTGCTACAATCCTCACAGTTAGATTTGGAAGAAATTTTTGAGTAAGATTCATCAAACTTAGCACAAAAAGATCCTAGTTCTTTTCGAGTTAGTTTTTGTTCGCGTTTGATCTGTTTTTGAAGTTTTAAATCATGGCAAATTTGTAATCCTTCCTTTTGTATAAAGCTAATAAGTTCTCCGTAAGTAAGTTGCTCATAAGGAATTTGACCATTAAAAGTGTCTTGGATTTTGTTTCGGATTTTATCTCCTAAGAGACGGGGTAAACCGGCTAAAAACTTTTCTTTCCAAAATGGTTGATTTCCATCTTCTCTTTGCATAACCCTAGTTAAAAAGGTGTCTTTGTACCATCGGAAGTCATGAAACTTTTTACAACGAAGATTAGAAAGTAGTTCGGCATTTTTATCTTTAAGATGTGAAGGATCTCCAATAAAATGTTTTGAAATGGCAAAAATCAGAGATGCGACTGCATCTTGAGAAGATTGATTATTAGAGTCTAATTGATTATATATATATATGTCTACCAATTAAAATAATTGTTATATAAATAATTATTTCATGTAATAAAATAATTGTTAGAATATAACTTGATCGAGTAATAATAATTTCTTAAAAATATTTCTATTCATCCCGATTAAGTGAAAACATATATTCATGTTCTATATGAAATTTCTCAAATGAAAAGTAATCACCTGTGCAATCTTTTATAATTTGGTTTAAGTTCACATTAAAATATTTGATTTAGATTATTTTGGTTGAGTAAGCTCAATTGAGGTCATAAATAGTATGCTAATAAATTTTCTTTTTTGATTTAGAGTTATTGTCGAGGATTATACATCAAAGTTTTCAAAATGACTAAAGTATGAGTTTTGACGAACTTTGACTTCATACCTTAAGACGAGACACAATATACCCTAAAAATGACATGTGTGAATGTAAGGGAATCTTTGTTGAGAATATACGATAAACATCACGTTTCATCAATCACTGATCTAGGCATTGATCAAATAAGGATTGACAATTTTCATTTAATAGTTGAATGTCTTTTAGACAAATCAAAATTTGAGGATTAAGATAATAAATAAATATAAGTGTGTTAGTTGAGATATCTAAACAAAAAGGCAAAATACACTTGTATATCCATAACTTTCACGTTTGTGACAAATATATCCATAACTATCAAAATACACGAAATACCCAATTCCGTCCATTTTGTTAACGACGTCAATTGACGGTATAACTAGACTAACAGTAGAAGTTGAGTTGGCGATTGATTTACCCCACCAAATGACGTGGATTATAAAGAAAAAAAATAACAAAAATTAAAATACAAATACAAAAACAAAAACAGAAAGAGAAGAGACTAAACCCTTTTCTTCCCTTCCCCGCCGCTACTCCTCCCGGAAGAGCGACCCCTCGTCTTCTCCCTTCTTCTTTGAATATCCCCATCAATCTCTCTTCCAACCTCTGATCTACCCTTCTTCTTCTCTGCATCTCAGTCCCAACCTTCGATCTCCCCCCTTCTTCTTCGAATCCCCCCGTCAATCTCTCTCCCAACCTTCAACCCGGATTCATAACTGTCGGTCAACCCGCCAGGCGAGCTCTAGGCAACATCGGGAATCTGGCAGCAAGCATCGCCCATGAAATTCCCAGAAGCAGATCGCCCCTAAACCATTTCTAATTCTTCTTTCTTTGCCCCGTCAAATCGTACAAGCAATCGAAGTCCAGACCCATGATTTTGAAGTTCAATAGATGCTCGAAATCGATGTGGTGAAGAGCTTCCGCTGGCGGTTGCGGATCCAGATCTCTTTTGTCTAATAAGCTTCTTCTCAGTGGTAGAAGTTGGCAGGGGAAGAGCCAACTTCTTCTCAAAATCCCCTGAAACCGATTTCCCCCTTTCCTCCTTTTGTTTGATGTTGAATGCTACTCTTCGAGGTTGGGTACGTGCAGCATGGGGAAGGATCTGGTATGCGACGGGAAATCTCAGAAGCACAGGGACGACAATTCGTCTGGTACATTTTTTGACCCAAAAACTCATCCTCTCTCCTTCTATTTTTCTTTGGTTGATTTGATTTCAGTTTTTTGAGATTCAAGTTTCTTTCCATAACTATTATTAGGTTTAAGAGGAGTAATGGGGGATCTGATTATTAGGTTTAGGAGGAGTAATGTGGATATGATTTTATTAGGTTTCAGAACTTTTATTACCTGATTCTTCTTCTTTGTCGTCGGCGTTTTGTAAAGATGGTTTTTTCCCCCCAATCAGCTACTGTGTTTGGCGAGCTATGGAGGCTGGAGCCACGGGAGAGAGAAGAAATCAATGTGGGGGAGAGAATTATTTTTTATTTTTTTGCTGACATGGCGTCCACATGTCAAATTTTGCTGACTTGGAGCTTAGGTGTCGCATGGGTATGGTCCTAGTAATAATAATAACTAATCCTTCATGGATCCAGACATCCAGCCTCTTTGAAAGATTCTTTCCCTTGAGCATCAACCTGAATTTGTATGAACTTCTTTCTATACCTCCAATTCAGGACTCAGCCACTCTTTCACTTCCAATTCACATCACCTGTCGCAATGAACTCACTATGACAAAAGAAAGACTCTCACTGCACAATCTGAATGGAAAATTCCCAAATGACGCTGCGAACAACCAAACCGTAGTTGCATCTTCCTTTTTTTATCAGAGATCATACTTACGGCTTCTTTGGCACCGATGTATACTCCAAAGCTCCTAAGTAAACTCAACATAGTCGTTGAAGACAATCTATGCGGCGGGTGAGACACGATAAATGATGACATTCGGTATTAGGGATCCTAGACTCTGGTAGCAATTGATGAGAGAGAGGATCTTGAAATCCGAGATTGATTATTGGAAAGATATGACGGGAGGAGAACTAGGGAAAATAAGGGAAAGAAATAGACTATTGGATAAGGAAGAACTATGATGGGATTAAGGCTAGAGAATTTAGGGGGACTAGAAGATAATTTATAGAAATCTATAGAGATGTATAACACAATTAGGGTTTAGAGAGAACAAAAATTAATAAGTCACTTAATCTGCTTCCCATGTTGAAAAACTGAAAGGATTAATGAAGAGCAATGAGAGATTTGACATAATTGATCGGTAATCTTCTATTTATTCTTTAATAATATCACTGAATGAATAAAAAACAATTATATAGGAAAACACAAAAATCTGAATTACTCCGTTAGTGACTTGACCGCCACCGAAAGCCCAAAATACTCATCAAGACTATTAATCTCATGACTACCCTCTAAATAAATACATATTCTAGGATAATTAATAACATCAAAATAGTAACTAATGAATTATTCACTAGAGTCATATAATGAAGATAATAGCGGTGTTCAGAAGAACTTGATTCGATCTATGAATCGACTACTCCATTTGTTCCAGTTAATCAATCTACCAATCCATAAACTCGATCCAATTTCCACCTAGGTTTTAGTGATAAAAATAAAGGTATTGTTATAGCTAATAAGTAGTGTAAAATAATTTTGTTCAAAGGTTATGCATATTATTTCCGTACTATTGTTACCAATTATCTTGGCTGTTCTAGGCTTAAGAAAATATTTCATGTGGAGAATCATCCAAAAAAGTAAAACATTACTCCAAATAGATTTTTATAAAAATGAATTGAAGTACATGTATTTTTATTTGCATAATTCTTTACATCTTAATGTGCGTCTATCTCACATGGATTTAGGAGAAAAAAGAGTCATTTTTCTATCACAAGAATATGTATTTAATTTAATTTTATCGGTCTCTATATGAAGCGTAAAATAAGACGACTATTGGTATGAACATTGATTATAACTATTAGTTGTTTAAAACCTCTTTAACTATTTGAATTCATTGATCTACAGAATTATTGCTCTTCATCTTCTATTTTCATAAATCAATTTACATAATTAAGAGTTAAAGAGAACCGATCAACCATTCACAAAATTACCAAGGAGGAAACATGCTCTTTTTATAAGACAAAAGTGGGGTAATTATCATAAATGGTCATAAAACTATTCTCTTTGTACAAAACGGTCACAAATCTTTAATTTTGCACGTTTCGGTAACATATGTTTGGACTAGTAACAAAAAGGTAATTCCGTCAATCTCCATCCAAAATTCTGTTAGTTTGATCCAGTCAGCCATCTCGTCAGCATCCACATCATCAAAATAATTAATAAAAAATAAAAACCAATTAAAACCCTAACCAACCCATCACCCCAATCCAAACCAACCCATTCCTCTCTATCTCCTCTCCCTCTCAGCACTGCACATCTGCAAAAACGCTTCCCCAAGTCGAAATTCATTCGATACTTGGGTTGCAACTTGCAAACCCATTTGAAACAAGTAAATATCTAAGAGAGAAGGACCTCTCCAGGAGATGATCTCCTCCACGGCGGGTGAGTTGGGGAAACAGCTCCGAACTGGTACCAAACATATTGCGATGCTACTGTCGACAATTTCTTCAATCTCCATCAATCCATTGCCACCGGTGTTCCCAACCCCCCATCTCTTCTCCCCCAACCCAACCAATTTACTCCACCTGAAGACAACACAGCAGCACCTTCAAACCAAAATGTTCTTCGACTCCCTTTCTCTTCACTATTCCAACTCTATTATAAATACCCATCACCCTTTTTCCTTTCTCAATCATCACCCGATTCGTGCGACACAGAGCGCTGGAGGGTTAATGTTGGTGGTGGGATTTATCATCAGCTTATAGATTATGTCTTCTATGCGAAGCTTGTAAGGCAGGTCCTGATTTTGACGACGGATGACGACGATTCTACCGTGATTCCTTGCCAAAACAATGTTGGGTACTTCGATTTGATGTCACAACCTGCTGGTGCCACTCAAAGCTTCCGTTGAAGGGGAAGAGTGGCCGCCGCCAGCGTTATTGGAAGGTGGAACGGAAGGAGGCTTCGTCGCGGACTCGAGGTCTCCATTTTTGGGGGGTTTAGATGTGGTCACGGCTGTTTAGGTTCTGGAGATGGATCGTGGTTAGGGAAAGGGAATGAGAGAGATCCTCAAGAAGGAAGGCTGTTTAGATTCTGGAGATGGATCGTGGTTAGATGTATACTTTTTTCAATTGGTTTATATTGTATTTTTTATTAATTATTTTGATGATGTGGATGCTGACGAGATGACTGACTGTATCAAACTAACGGAATTTTGGATGGAAATAGACGGAATTACCTTTTTGTTATTAGTCCAAACATATGTTACTAAAACGTGCAAAATTAAAGGTTTGTAACCGTTTTGTACAAAGAGAATAGTTTTGTGACCATTTATGATAATTACCCGACAAAAGTGTATATATAGGAGAATCATCAACATTCTTATTTATTGGTAATAATTTTTTTAGGCCTATCAAGTATTTGTTGAAATATATCGAGAAACCTAAAGATTGATCGATGGCTACTTTGATATCTAATCCAACTGGTAGTGAAAAACCAAATTAAAAATCAATGTATGCCTTCAAGGTGTTTCTACACTATTGTTACATCACATCAAGTAGGGGTGGATATCGGTTCGGTTCAAATCAAACCAAAACAGAGCATACCGGGTCTCCTAAGGTGTCTATGAGCGAAATCGAGTTTGAAACAAAATTCAATTCGGTTTGGTTCACCCAAACCAAGTTAAACATCGGTTCGGTTATAACTCACAAACCCGAAGATTTATAGACCACCACTCTCTCTCTCCCATATACCCTTACCCTCACTGTCTCCCCATTTCGATCAAATCTCTCTTTCTCTCTCCCCCTCCCCCTCCAACAAACACAGTCATTGCAGAGCAGAAAGCAACGGTGGTGCGGTGGTGGTATCTCCTCCGTCTCGCGACTCAACGACAATGACGATTTATGCAGAAGTCAGAACACAAGACGGCGACAGGCGGGTACGTCGATTGAATGTTAGAGGTCAGTATGAGTGTAGATCTAAGCATTCATGCCATTTTTCTGTTTGATTTTCACCTTCGAGTTTTAGTAGCATCGTCGTTGTTTTTTATTCAGGAGAAGAAAGCTTCGATTTTGGAGAAGAAAGCTTTGATTTTCAATATTGATTTTAATGCATTTGGAGTTTTATGTTTGGATTTAGGTTTATGGTCTTAGGGAGGAGAAGAGATCGGTAAGAGGGGAAATGACATCGAACTCCAGTGCATCAAGGAGAAGTTGGCGGCAAGGCCAAGAGATGATAGGAGGATTCGGCGGACGGCGGTGATGCTTGATGGTCGTTGGCGGCTTGGGGAAGTATTTGGTCTTCTTTGTTAGGATTAGGTTAGCAGTTGGCATGGAAGATTTGTGGGCTTGAGGGATTTATTTTTGGGCGATGAGGGATTTGTTTTTGGGTTCTGTTTGATTTGGGTTGTGAGAGAATTGAGCTTCGTGAGAGGTTGAGTAGTTAGTTGGGTTGTAGGACTGGGTTAAATTTTTTGTTCGGTTTATCGGTTCGGTTTATAAGAATTCGGGTTCGGTTTGTATACCTCTAGTTCTCGAAATAAAGAGTTTTGGCTTCCGAATTCCGAATTGAACAACACTAATTCAGTTTTGGTTTGGTTTAATTAGGTTTCGGTCCAATTCGGGTTTACCGAACCAGATGCCAACCCCTAACATCAAGTAATGCACGGGGAGACTTTTTAGGTTTGATTTGATTAGTAATTCACCTTTTATGTTGCGTATCACATGTCATTTCAAGAGGGAGAATAAAGTTGTGACAAAAGAGAATAAAAAAGTTGATAAAGCTATTGAAGTGCTAAAACATTCATGCTATTGATGTGGATGGAAATCAATGCTAATGCTTTTAAGACATAAAAAATATACATTTGTGGAGTTCCCTCAAAATTTCATTTGAAATCAAAAGATGAAATAGTGGCAAATGAGGAAGAAGAAGATTTCTATTGGAAGGTTCTATTATTGACCTCCGTCAAACAAAGAAATATATATCTTCATTTGTTGCTAGTTGCTACTTCTATTGGAAGTACATGGAAAACATTTATTTAGAAGGTTATTTGTTTCA